TATATATATATATATATATATATTGTCGAAAAACAAAAAGAACGTCTGTTTAAGTTTATTAACAAATCTATCGGTATCTATCTATTATTAAATAACTTGCAGGAGAGCAAGGAACTGCAAAGACAGTTATGGTCAAAAGCTACATGTCACACTACGATCCAGAAGAACATCTCTATAAATCTTGCAGCTTTTCTTCCGCATCTACACCCAATATGGTTCAGGTAATTAGAAAATTGGAAAATTAGTATCATGGGCTAAGCTGTCAACGGAATACGAATATTCGCAGCGAATATTTGAAAGCTACGTGGAGAAAAGAGTGGGTACCACTTACGGACCGCCAGGTGGCCGAAAAATGACCATTTTCATCGACGACATAAATATGCCGGCTATAAATGAATGGGGTGATCAAATTACAAACGAGATCGTTCGCCAACTGATGGAATACAAAGGCTTTTATTCACTGGACAAACCTGGCGATTTCTGTACTATACAGGACATTCAGTTGCTCGCAGCCATGATCCACCCTGGTGGGGGTAGAAACGATATTCCACCGCGGCTCAAGAGACAATTCAATATTTTTAATTGTACATTACCATCCAACAAGTCCATGGACACAATCTTCAGTAAGAGCATATAATTTGTGAAATCGAGATACTTGATGAGATGTTTTAATTAAATGTTAAAACAGCTCTCAACGATGCGTTTCTCATCATTCATGTATACTGTTATTTTCTTCTCTTCTAATGACTCGATAATACTTCATTGTATCACGCAATATTACGTGCTTTATGTATTTGATTTGAACGAGTTAACTTCAGAGCTAATTCAGCAAGTTAATGCATGTTTTTGCAAAAAAAATGTTTAGGAAGCATTGGGCAAGGGTACTTCTGCAGTACCAGATTCGACGAGAGTATTGTGAACTTCTTGCCGAAATTAATACCATTGACGAGAGTTCTGTGGCAGCAGACTAAGAGTAAAATGTTGCCAACGCCGGCGAAGTTCCACTATGTTTTCAATTTAAGAGACTTGTCTCGAATATGGGAGGGCATTCTCAGAATAGAAAGTGCTGAATGTGACTCCAGAAGCAGGCTGTTGAAGCTCTGGGAACACGAATGTACCCGCGTAATTGCAGATCGGTCAGTTGCCGTACAACATAAACTGGAAAGCCAAATTTTTTTAGTAAATTAAAATAATTACGTTCCCTGTTGTTATTAGATTTACAAATAACGAGGACACACAGTGGTTCAGAAACACATTAAGAAGAACAGCGGAGAAAATGTTAGGTTCTGATTTTAGTTTCTACGTACCTGTCGAGACATATTTCGTGAATTTTCTGCGTGAACCACCGGAACCTACTGGAGACGAACCGGAAGACTTCGTCTTTGAAGCGCCGAAGATTTACGAGGAGATGCCAAGGTTGGAAATTTGTTTGAAAATCTTGATATGAAGTTAATTTGAACTTAACGCGATTGCGTTGTTAGTTAATCGTTCATTTAACACGTTCCGTGCCAAGCCA